AGAATGGAGAAGTTGCCAACTGCATGTGTTGTGAGAAAGGACGAAACGACGGGGCATCACTTGAATAAAATATTAGGGTAGTGTGGTTTGATTGGTTTTGCAATGTCGCAGGAAGTAAAGTGAGAATGATGGCTGCAAGAAAGTCAGGCGATGCAACGGATGAAGATTTTTTCGCTAACCCATTGAAACATCTACAAGAGAAACTGAAGCCCGCAAAAAATGTTAATAAAAAGCAGCAGAAGACGAAAACGGAGGCGAAGAAAGTGAAAGAAGGTTTTTTTTAAACTCTAATTTATAAGTCATAAAAGGCATAATATAGGTAGAAATAAAAGATCCCACGGGCCGTTTTGGCCCAGTGGGTGGAAGGGATTAGGAAAAGTAAGGGCTGAACCGGTAAGCCGTGAATTTTTAAAGGTATCTCTGTGTTACTTTAATGGAATTTTTATTCACTCTAAAAATGCTTCTGTGCGTCTCCGCCTCTCACACTTGCACTACTTGTTCATAGCCGGGTTCTCCAGCTGGCAACTTTTCCAATTCTTCTGACCAGGCAACTTTTCCAATTCAGTCAATGGACTGATGGTCACTCCGTTGGCGATTCTGGCAATCGTTTCGTTTTCTGAACGAATTACTGTCGTTTTCGATGACAGTACTGATTTATTGTAAGTATTACAGTATTATTACTGAATGTTAATTGGAGCTCTTGAAAATAATTGGCATTAGTACTTGGGAAAAAGCTGTTAATGTTCAGTTAAACTGTTTTCACTTTTGAAAGATAATAATTCCCAGTAAACTGTAGGTTGTCGGTGTTAATGTCATACATCATCAAATAGCCGATTGCTGGTGCGAAGATGCGTTTTTTGCATAGTTCCCCGCAGGTTTTTGTCGTTGACGACACCGGTTTTTCCAGGAGATGCTTGCAGCTGTACGGACTGAGACTGATCGCCAGTGCTGTCAGGAAACATCCCCTTAAAATTCCAGTCTTCTAGCTTTTCAGGTCCTCGAGTTAGCAACTTACCCGCCAAAAACGTTGGGGGGCCTGTACGTGGGACTAATGTGGGTAGGAACGCCAATTTTGGAAATAAGGGCCCGCTTGCGCGTGTAGATTAAGCTCCCAAAGCTTCCACCCTCTGGTCTGTGTTGGTCTCGAGATGAACAGTTGGTGCAGACGAGTACACAGACACACACACACACACAACCCCTCGTCAATATGCGTTTTCGCGTTGCATAGATGCGAAAAACGCATAAAAACCAGTTAACACCAAAAATAATTCAGCCTTTTGTTTCTAAGTATTGTTCGAAAGAGAGAACCATCGATAGCCGTTCTAGCGAATGACTTTTGCCTCTCACAGGGAGTGAATACAGGAAGACCTTGACTTTAACAGGTGGTTGATCAGTGTCAGTGTGATTCAGATGGATCACTGTCAGTGACCCGTTTATTGCAATTGAGTTTGGCGATCACTGCTTTTACAGCTGTTTTTGATTTCTGGTTTTGATGTGTTGATGAGGCACACGTTCTTTCAGAATCAAAAACGAAAAAGAAAGGCAAGAAAGGCAAAATTCATTCACTCGGTAAGTAGTAATAACTGGAAATTTGCATTTTCTGGGTTTCTCATAACAAAGGAAAAAAAAATAATGAATTATTTTGAGTTTGAGAATATTCAAAAAGTTTGAGAATATTCAGTACTCTTGTTGAATTTCTCTCTGCTTTTTTACTCCCGCTAACTTTTATTTTTGAGATTTTTCAAAAAGCAGAACTTTGATTACCCAGTGGAACTGAAAAGTGTTGCTTTCACGGCTGATGCTATGTTAGTTTTGGAAAAGGCACTTTGCGTCGTGAGGAAGGCGATCCATCCTCTTTTTTTTGAGCTTTAGCCCCAAACTGAACTCGATA